TAAATGTTACTACTAGCTGTCAGAGTGGAACTAGCAAAGAAAGAACAATCACACCTTTGGCTGTTTTCAGTAAAGCCTCACCGGTGGACTGTTTCTTTTTGAATGAGAGGCCTTCACAGCCACTGTAATCTGTTCACGGAATATGGCATGTCCTAACGTGACGTGTACACATACGATGTCGACCTGATGGAAGATCCATTCTGTCCTCAAGACTAGATAACAGAAGCAGATGTCCCTTAGACGTAATTGAGCATCAATTAAGCTTGTTACTTTTGGGTACTTCTCTTCTTATGAACTTCTCGGAATGAGATCATGTCAGTAGGAGTATTTTTATGAATTAACCTAAAATAGGTAAGTATCATTATCATTTTTGCAGTACTTTTCATGAGTTTTGAGAGTTAGCCATCATCACTGCTACTGAAACTCCTACTCAAATTGAAATTCGAGTTTTGGATTGATTTAGCGTTTAATTTCTTGCATGGACGTATTAATCCCCGTGCTGATATTTTACTACAGGCTCTTGAAACATCTTTCAAATGACAAACAAATTAGTCCGAAGCTGATGCCACTTTCACCTGATATCAATGTTGCTCAGTTGCCTAATGGCTGTAGTTTCTTAACTGCCTCATGACATCTATCGCCAAGAGAGCTTTGCAATACTTTATGAAATCCGGTTTTTTAACATGCCTACCCTTAAGTATCTACTCTTGTTATGATTGGATGTTTTTTGTGAGTATTGATGACATATGTTAAATAGTCGCTGTTGAAACATCGTTATACGCTAGTGAGTCAAACGCCGCGGGATGCGTTTATGCGCTACATGTTCCTTAGGGTCGTGACGTGCTGAATATCGATATAGTCATTTTATATAAAAGAGGTGGCGCAGTGCGCAATGTAATTCGATTTTAGAGGAGTTACAGACACGTCATTTGTTTTAATTTTCATTTTATTTTTGTAGATCAAAGCAGTTGCCGTAGGATTCGATTCTCATTTGTCATACGCAAAGATCTTAAAGGCTGCTACCTATCTCAAGG